AAACTTGGATCCCATCCCAAGACACCTTCTTAGTCTAAAGTCCAAAGAAATTTGGGATCCAAAATCCAAAGCCTTTGGTCTAAGGTGCTAGTGAAGAAATTGAGAGCTGGGAATGCAACTAAGTGAGTAGATGCTTGCTTAGGTGTGTGAAGACCTGGGGGCAAATCTCCCGATATGCCTAGGCTGGTGTGGTAGCACACACTTCCTGTAATCCCAGCACTTGGGTGGTAGAAGCAGGAGGATCCAGAGTCCAGGGTTGTCCTCTGCTATACGAGTTCAGGGCCAGCATGAGGTACATGAGATTCAAGTCTCTAAAAGTCAAATAGAGAACCTAAAGGTAAAGCATAATCTAAGTCAGTGGTTCTCAGCCTGTGGGTTGAAACTTCGAATGTCCCTTTCACAGGGTCACCTTAGACCATTGGAAAACACAGTTTACATTACAATTCATAACAGTAGGAAAATTACAGTTATGAAGTAGCAACAAAAATAATTTTATGGTTGGGGTCACAGCATTAGTAAGGTTGAGAACCACTGCTCTAAGGGGTGTGTGAGACAAAGAATATAATCTTTGGTTTTCAGAGAGTTTCTTTGCTGCACTGCAGTAATTGTCCTCAGATACCTGGTCTCGTGTGGGTTGGTGATGATTAGTGGGTGGGTGTCAGTGTTTTGACACTGTTGTTGTACATCATGGGGGGGTTGTTTACCCTTTTGAGCTGTTTGTTTTCTGAGTAAACAGGGTTGCCAAACAATTGCTATGTAATACTCAAAGGTGTGACTATATACCCAGTAAAGTGTGTCTTCTGTCAGAGGCTGTTTTGCTTTAGTTTTTCATGTCTCTTTGTGGAGAAGCTGCACAGGTTCAGGGACACTTAGTGGTATCTCAGCAACCATGAAAAGAAAACTTATAGTAAGGCACAGCTGTTTTGATCTTTTTTGTTTCTGATTTTTCAAGACAAGGTCTCACTATGCAGTAGTTCACATTCTCCTGGAACTCACAATGTAGACCAGGCTGGCCTATGCTTGACTGAGATTAAAGGCATGCACCACTATGCTTGGCTTCCATTTTGATTTTTGGGAACATCTTATGAGTAAATGGAAATTAGAGCTGAGTTAATGATTGAAAAGGTGGAGGAAATCAGTGAGACATAGTTATAATGTTTTTTTTGAAAGTTTTTCAAGACAAGATTTCTCTGTGCATCCTTGGCTGTCCTGGAACTTTGCTCCAACCACCAACCAACCACTGAGCCTGAGGGTGCCCCCCCCTTTCCTGTTTGTTTCTGATTTTGAGACAAAGTCTCCCTATATAGCCTTGACTGGCTGAGAACTCCCTTAGGAAGACATCCTTACCTTGAACTCAAAAAGATCCTCCTGCTTCTGCTTCCTGGGATTAAAGGCGCCATACCCAGTGGATATTTTTCTTTCTTTTGTTTTTGATATGATAATAATTTTGTTTCATTTCTCTGAACCTCCCAATTACTCCTTGCTTTTTTCAAATTCATGGTCTGTTTTTTCTCATTGTTATTGAGTACATATTTGTTTATGAATATATTCTTAAATATAAACTGATCAGTCTGTATGCTTCTCCTATGTATGTTGTCAGGGGACCATTTGGTATTGATAATCAGTTGGTGTGCACTTTCCTGGAAGAAAACTGTTTCTCCCACTCACATCAGTCCAAATTGCCTGTAGTTCTTTGTGAAAGGTTGAGGCCTAATGGGCTGTCTCCCATCCACTTTGGCATGTCTGTCAGTGTTGTCCTCGTTTAGCTCATGTTTAAACAGTCAAGATGGGGAAACTATGGGTATAGCTTGTGACATTCCTAGGAAACACAATCTTACAGCAGACTCCCTGATTCTCTGGCTTTTGCAATCTTGCTACCTTGTCTACAGCAGTTCCTTGAGCATTAGGTACAGAAATGTTTTACAGATGTATCCATTTGGACTAGACTCTACAATGCTGCATTTTGATTGGTTGTGAGTGTCTTTAATGGTCTCTGTCTGTTGCAAAGAACTTTTCGTGGGTGAGGGATGAGGACTACTACACTTATCTGTGGGAATAAGGACAAAGACATAAAGTTGTTAGTGACTACCCTGTTTTAGTATAGAACCATAGGTACGCTGAGTCACAACTTTACTAGCACTGAGTAAGTTGGCTAGGTTTCCAGTACCAGACATGTTTGTTTTTTTTCTTATTGAGTGGGTCTTAAGTCCAATTAGAGACGTTTTGGTTACAGCCAAGGTATGCATGCCACCACTGCATCCTTAGAGTGTCTTTGTGGTTCCTAGGCTTCATAGCTGAGTAGGACTATTAGTTGTTTGCCTTCTTTGTAAGCTTACATGGTACCTTTTGGTACCAGGAAAGTTAGTCTTCAGGGAAGAGGCATTCAGGTCAGTTTGAGCTCAGAAGCTTTCTGGGTCTTGTTTCTGAAGTGTATGGTGTTTTCAGCAATAGAGACTTACCTTGCACCTCTGGGGGTCACCCCAGGGCAATAGCAATAGGCTGTATGTTTTAGGAGTCTTTTGGACGTCCCTGACCAACAACTCAGAAGGCTTCTCATGTCTGGGTGTTGGGGGTTTTGTTAGGTTGCCTTTGGCTGTTGGAGAAAGCATTGGCAGCCTGAGAAAAGTTCATTTAAACTATGTATGTATATTTATATACAGAATTACATGTAACATGTTTGTAGGGGTTTTTTTTGTCAGTAGTATGATTCCTTAAGACTTTTTCAGACAGCCTTACTATTACCCACTTTTCTCCTTCTGTATTTACTTCCCTAAAGAGGCACTCCCCACCCTCTCATTTCTATTTCCCTGATCAGATCACTTGTAGCCTTCTATGCCCCTCTCTTACCCATAAGTGGTACTACGTGGTACTTTTTTTTCCCTCTCCTCCTCTTCGTCCTCTTCTCCCTCTCCCTCTCCCTCTCCCTCTCCCTCTCCCTCTCCCTCTCCCTCTCCCTCTCCCTCTCCTTCGGGTCTCTGTGTAGTCCTGGCTGTACTCAAGTACTCAAACTTGCTGTGCTGATCGGACTGGCCTTCAACTCACAGAGATCCTCCAGCCTTCTACTAATGTCAGTGGTCCCCTTTTACTTTCCTTGTTTCTGTAGTTACTTCAGGATATTTATTCATATCTGGGAAACAGGCACCTAAGATAAGAGAGGCCATGTGACATTTGCCTTTATGGGTCTGGGTTTCCTTACTCAGTAAGATCTTTCTGGTTCTGTCCATTAACCATTAACCAAGCTAGACCCTTGAGGAGGAGGTGGCACTTTTTTTTTGTTTGTTTGTTTTTTGAGGCAGGGTTTCTCAGTAGCTATGGAATCTGTCCTGTAACTCACTCTGTTGACCAGGCTGGCCTCGAACTCACAGAGGTCCTCCTGCTTTTGCCTCCCAAATGCTGGGATTAAAGGCATGTGCCACCACTGCCTGGTGGAAGTGGCTCATTTAAAAACAGGTTCTCATATAGTCTAGGCTGGGATCCAGCTCCTGTGTGAGGCTGGTCTTGACTTGCTTCTGTTTTTAAGATTCATGTTTAAGTCTATGTGGACTGGAGAGATGGCTCAATGGTTAAGAGCACTGCCTGCTCTTCCAAAGGTCCTGAGTTCAATTCCCGGCAACCACATGGTGGCTTACAACCATCTGTAAAGAGGTCTGGTGCCCTCTTCCGGCCTGCAGGCATACACACAGACAGAATATTGTATACATAATAAATAAAATAAAAAAAAGAATTATTTAGTGCTTAAACATTTATTTACTCTGTATGTGTGTTGGTCACAGCACACATGTAGTGATCAGAGGACAGTTTACAGGAGTTGGTTCTGTCTGGTCATGTATGGGTTCTGGGAATTGAATTCAGGTTATTAGGCTTGGTAGCAAGTGCTTTTACCTGCTGAGCTTTCTGAAAAGCCCTGTTTTAACTTATTTTTAAATAACTTTTCTACAGTTATAGGCATATTTTTAGAGACAAGGAAAAATGAGAGATGATTGGGGTATCAAGTCAAATATGTTGATTACAATTGTGCCATCATACCTGGCATTTAAGAATGCTATTGTTTTGTGCTTAATGTCATTTTTTTTCTTTCAGTGTACTTGTTTGGGGTGGGGAGATAAGGTCTTAATTTGTAGCCCTGGCTGACCTCAAGCCCCACAGCATGTCACTGCCTCAGTCTCTGAAGTGTGGGGTACAGGCATACAGGCATGCACTACCACACACAGGCTTCTTTATTCTTCTTTCATACATTTTGGGTTTTGTTTGTTTGTTAGTTTTAGAGATGGTCTCACCTAGTAGCCCTGGCTTCCCTGAAAATTCACAGTGTAGACCAGGCTATCCTTCTATCCTTCAATCTGCCTGTCTCTGCCTTCCTATTGCTGGTATTAAGGTGAGCGTCACATTTTTTTCTCTTTGATTTTTCGAGACAGGGTTTTTCTGTAGTTTTGGAGCCTGTCCTGGAACTAGGTCTTGTAGACCAGGCTGGTCTCGAACTCACAGAGATCCGCCTGCCTCTGCCTCCTGAGTCCTGGGATTAAAAGCGTGCGCCGCCACCACCCAGCACAAAATGGATCTTTTTCTTAAAGATATTTACTTATTATGTATACAGTATTCTGTCTGCATGTATGCCTGTAGGCCAGAAGAGGGTGCCAAATCTCATTACAGATGGTTGTGAGCCACCATGTAGCTGCTGGGAATTGTACTCTGGACCTCTGGGAGAGCAGTCAGTGCTCTTAACCACTGAGCCATCTCTCCAGCTGAGCACCACTATTCTAATTCATCCATTTGTTTTGATAAAACACCAGTCTTGTCTTTCTTCCTTGTCTGTGGTGATTTCTTCCTGGCCTGGTAGGTAGCACAACTTAGATTTCCTGTCACCAAGGGTTAGATGGCTCCTTTCACAGACAGCTTGGCCTGTATTTGAGTAGAATTATAGTTTAAATTATAAGATTATAGTTTAAATTTAAAAATTTGTAGTCTTTTGAATTTAATAAAAGCATATTTAATCTTTACAGAGGTCGGAACAGTAGCAAAGGACTGCCTCAGCCTACGGTGAGTAAATTCCATGTTATTTATAAAAACATAAAGTATGATTTCTAACCATAGCTCCAGTAATAAAGCTAAGAATAAAATCTCTTGAATTTTGCTACAGACATACCAGTTTAATACAGAGTTATTGATTCTGTATTGCTTTTCATTGAGGACACTATGAAATGTACAATTTTCTGTTAATAGTGTTTGTATTGTGTATAATACTGATACCAAGTTAAGTGTTCTGATGTTTTGGACCAGAGTTTGTAAAGTTCTTTGGGCTTTTTGTTTGAATTAATGTGCTGTCTGTTTAAACTCCTTTCATTTTTCTCACTTGGGAAACACCTTCTGATCTAACATTTTCCAACTTTATCAGTGAAGTTAGAATGAACACAAAGACCATAAAGTTCCATATGAGAAATTGCCACTGGTTGGTGTTTCTTGAGATAGGATCTACTATGTAGCCTTGGCTGGTCTGGAACTTATATAGACCAGGCTAGTTTTTTTGGGTTTTTGTTTGTTTGTTTTTTGAGACAAGGTTTCTCTGTAGCTTTGGTTCCTGTCCTGGAATTAGCTCTTGTAACTAGGGTTACAAGATAGGGTTTTTCTGTGTAACAGCCCTGTCTGACCTGGAACTCACTGTAGACCAGGCTGGCCTCGAACTCACAGAGATCTGCTTGCCGAGTGCGGGGACTAAAGGCGTGTGCAACCACCGCCGCCCAGCTAACCAGGCTAGTTTTAAACACACAGCGATCTGGTGGCCACTTAAGGGTTTTGTTTCCTTTATTCCCCCTCCCCCCACCTTTTTTTTTTTTTTCAAGACAGGTTTCTCTGTTCTGGAACTCTCTTTGTAGACCAAGCTGGCCTCCAACTCGCTGAGATGTGCCTGCCTCTGCCTCCCAAATGCTGGGATTAAAGGTGTGTGCCACTACTACCGGCTTTTGGGGGGGTGGGGGTGGGATAGGCTTTTTCTGTGTAACAGTCCTGTCTGACCTGGAACTCACTAGACTAGGCTGGCCTTGAACTCACAGAGATCCACCTGTCTCTGACTCCCAATTCCTAGAATTAAAGGTGTGTATGACCATATCCAGCACCACTGAGATTTTTTTTGTTTTGGGTTTTTGGTTTTTCGAGACAGGGTTTCTCTGTAGCTTTGGAGCCTGTCCTGGAACTAGGTCTTGTAGACCAGGCTGGTCTCGAACTCACAGAGTTCTGCCTCTGCCTCCCAAGTGCTGGGATTAAAGGCATGCGCCACCACTGCCCGGCTAACACTGAGTTTTCAAATATGATCTTTATTGGTTAGATTGTCTTCCTGAGAGTCAGGAGAACACACCATTGTGTAGTTTCTGTCAGGAATAGTTTTGTTGCCTTGATTCAAACATGCTGAGAGAAACTGGTAGTGCAGTGTGTGCTGCTCAGCACTCCTACTTTATTAAGATGTACTGCACCCCTTTCAGGACGTAGATTGTGAGGTCTTTCCTCACTACCCAGTTGCCCTTGGTGCTGGAATTGGAGCGTAGGCTCTTTAATGTGCTAGACAAGCACTCTTCCATCCAGCTACTCTCTAGTCGAGCTGAAAGTTGACTCTTTTGTAGTGTATATTTTTTTAGTCTGGGGACAGTGGGTAAACCTTGATGCAGGTGTGGTAGTCGGAGGGCCACTTTGTGGGGATTGAATTTAGGACGTCAGACTCATTGTGTCTTTACCTACTGAACCGTCTCACCAGTCCCTCTCTGAGTTTTTTTATTTGTGTATTTTTTTAAAATGTTGCCCCCCCCCCTTTTTTTTAAAGATTTTATTTATTAAGTATGCAGTGTTCTGTCAGAAGAGGGCACCAGATCCCATTATAGATGGTTGTGAACCACCATGTGGTTGCTGGGAATTGAACTCAGGACTTCTGGAAGAGCAGCCAGTGCTCCTAACCTCTGAGCCATCGCTCCAGCCCCTTGTGTGTGTATTTTTGAGACAAGGTCTTAATATAGAGGCTGGCTAGCCTGGAAATTCACTGTATAGACCAGGATGGCCTAAAATCCACAAAGATCCACCTGCCTCTGCCTCCAGAATGCTGGGATTAAAGGTGTGCTCAAGCATGCCTAGATGTGACTAGAGTTTTTAAAGTTTATAATTCTGCAGCCAGTACTGCACTCAAGACAGCATGACATTTCCCTTCCCTGGCAGCTGTGCAAATTCTGTCCCCTACTGGTTTTGTCTTCTCCAGAGGTTTTTATTTTCTTATACTTAGAGGTGTACGTCTGCTGTTTTTGTTTGTTTTATGTCATATTAATTACTAGTTAGAATAGTTGTTTGATTTCATTGTTTAAAACTTTTACCTTTCTGTTCTCTAAGGAAATAAAATATGATTGTAACCAATTCTTCCTTAATTTATTATAATCCACACATCTTACAGCTAGAAAAGTGATAGCTTTACAATACAGACTGGTAATCGTGTTTATTTTTCAAACTTTCCAGATTTCTTTTGATGGAATTTATGCAAACGTGAGGATGGTTCATATACTTACATCAGTGGTTGTAAGTTAACCATGTTATTGGGGATAAATTCCTTTGGGGTGGATATTTCATAGAGTTAAAATGTAAAGAGCGAGTCTCAGCCTAATATTTTTAGGTCATACTTAATGAAGATGATTTTAAAAATACATTAGAATAAATTTCAATTTATTATAACTTGGTAAAAATATTCTTGCTAACCCTGCTGTATGTATGATAGTGATTATAGCTGATTCTCTTTTGAATAATACTTTGTTAATCTGATGGAAGTGTGGACAGAAAAATATATAGCTTTAGTATTCAGTTCATATTTTGGAGTTGCCAGTTCTATACCATGTAGAGAATTTAGTGTAATGTTAATGTGTTGAAACTTTATCATTGCTTGTCAATATCCAATACTGAATGAGGTCTTAATATAAAGTGAAATGAAAACACTTCTCTCTGATAGTGAGGTAGCACACTATTTAAAAAAAAATTGTGTTTTCTAGGGATCGAAATGTGAAGTACAAGTGAAAAATGGAGGTGTATATGAAGGAGTTTTTAAAACATACAGTCCTAAGGTAATTTTTACTATTTGGTCATCTATGTATGGTCATGCCACTTCAATAGGTCTGAGCTTGTTGTGGATCCATCTGACAGTTGAGCTCATGAGTGTTTTCCTTCTTACCACCCAATCTATCCAGTTTTAAAAACCACTTGAATTTTTCTCTCTCGTAACAAATTCTTATTATTTAATAATTGATTTGTATATCTGAAAATACTGTATGCGTTGATGATATGCAACCATTTTCAGCTTTGTCAGCTACCAGAGGTGTGTGCTGAGTTACTTCTCTCTGTTAACATTAGTGTACTTCAGATACACTGTAACAAGAATAGCTTTTAGTTCTGAGGATTTCTAGAATTTGGGTGCATGACAAGAGCTAGTTCCGGGAAGGGCACCAAAGCTACAGAGAAACCCTGTATCGAAAAACCAAACAAAAAGACAGATTATATTTCTAAACAGGACATGATGGTCAGGTTTTCTCATGATGTTTACTTTTGCTTTGATGAGTTAAATATCCCAGTAAATATTATTTAATAATGTTTTTAATGTTTATTAATTTTTTTATTTAGTGTGATTTGGTACTTGATGCTGCACATGAGAAAAGTACAGAATCCAGTTCGGGGCCAAAACGTGAAGAAATAATGGAGAGTATTTTGTTCAAATGCTCAGACTTCGTTGTAGTACAATTTAAAGATACAGACTCCAATTACGCACGAAGAGGTAGGCTTTTGTTTCCAAGTCACCCTAGCCCTCCTGATGTAATAGACTCACTCCAGCAATTACACAGACTTGCTTTTCCCTCCCTTGAGACAGGATCTTGCTTTGTGGTTCAAACTGACCTTGTCCTCTTGTTCCTCCTACTTTTGCTTTCCTGGTGCTGAGGTTGTAGGTCTTTGCCTTCAGGCCAGGGAATGAGATGATCTTTTTTAAATAGGGTAACATAATTGATCTTTCTTTCTTTCTTTTTTTCTTTCTTTCTTTCTTTCTTTCTTTCTTTTTCTTCCTCTTTGTAGCCCTAGCTATCCTGGAATTTGCTCTGTAAATCTGACTGGTAAACTCAAGAGATCTGCTTGCCTCTTCCTCCTGAGTGCCAGGACTTTTTTTAATTCAGAAAATGAGAGTTTTAATGCATTTTGTTGGAAAATATTTAAAATTTAAGAAGAAAATAAATTGGTGCTTTTAGAAGCATAAGTAATTGTAGTATACATTTTTTAGTTTTTAGATTTATTTAGTGGCTGTTTTGCTTGAATGTATTTATGTATACCATGTACATACCTGGTATCTCAGAAATCAGAAGAAGGTGATAGATTGTGGCAAGTGTTTTTTGAAGAGGGGCATGTGGGAACTGGCCCTTCATCTTGTGTTTTTGTTTTGTTTGCTTGTGGTTCTTTTCTTTTCAATGGGGTTTCTCTGTGAAATAGTCCTGGCTGTTCTGTAACCTGCCAACTTGCTGGCCTTGAACTCACAGAGATCTGTCTGCTTCTGCCTCCTGAGTGCTGGAATTAAAGGTGTGCGCCACCACCTCCCAGCTGGCCCTTCTTCTTGGTAGGCACTTAGTAGCATTGGGAAAGGATTGGATTTGGCAATTCAAAAATTCTTTTTTTTAAAAAAGATTTTTTTTTTTATTATGTATACAATGTTCTGTCTGCATGTATTTCCTGCAGGCCAGAAGAGGGCACCAGATCTCATTACAAATGGTTTTGAGCCACTGTGTGGTTGCCGGGAATTGAACTCAGGACCTCTGGAAGAGCAGCCAATGCTCTTAACCTCTGAGCCATCTCTCCAGCCCCCAATTCAAAAATTCTTGAATGGTAGATTGTTATTAACTATAATTTGATTTTTATGCTTCAGTTGGTGCTAACAGCTGTTTCTGATACTTGACACAGGAAGTTACAGCCTTTCTCAACACAGTTCTCCCTTTACTCGTCATCTTTCCTGTTGCAGAAGCCAGCAGCGATAGGGACTATGATTTGTAATCTTCAAAGCGCCTTCGGTTACCCATGAAGGAGACAAATGCTTTCTTTGTTGATGCTTTTAGGGTCAGTTTTACTTATACTTTGGAATACCAAATAATTTGTATTTATACTTTTGAAAAATTTAATGTTTTTAAATTTGAAAACTAACCTTGGTCAAAAGACAAAGGGAAAAATCAAAACACAGCACTCTGAGAAGAGTGTTGGCTGTAACAGAAACAGCAGTCACTAGTTGTTCTATTGTGTTTGCAATATGCTTATTTGGGAAGTGCTGTGAACTAAGTATAGGACACTGGATGCAAGGTGAACATGTAATCATTGCTATACTCAACCAGGCCCTATGGCCTTACATTTGGTAGGCAAACCCTACTACTGAGCCCCATCCTAACTCTGAAGTTCTAATGTTTGTTTTGTTGTTTGCTTAGTTGTCACCCCCCCCCCCCCACACACACACACCCATCCCCACAGAGTCTCACTGTGTAGCCATGTAGCCCTGGCTGTCCTGGAACTCACTATGTAGACCAGGCTGGTCATGAACTCCCAGAGATTTACCTGCCTCTTCCCCTGATAAAGTTTCATGCCTCTACTCCCCGAGTGCTGGGATCAAAGGCATGCGCCACTACCGCCTGGCCTGGGCTTGATCTTTTTATCTCAACCTTTTAAAATCATGGAGTGTTCTTAGTTAGGGTTTATATTGCTGTGAAGAAACACACAGCTTTTATCCCAGCACTCGGGAGGGAGATGCAGGTGAATCTCTGGGAGTTCGAGACCAGCCTGATATACAAGATCTAGGTCCAGGACAGGCCCCAAAGCAACAGAGAAGCCCTGTCTTGAAAAAAGAAAAGAAAGAAACACTATGACTGTGGAAACTTTTAAAGAGGAAAACATTTAATTGTGGTGGCTTACAATTCAGAGGTTTAGTCCATTATCATGGCCGTACATGGTGGCGTATAGGCAGACATAGTACTGGAGAAGGAGCTGGGAGTTCTACATTTTGATCCACAGGCAGCAGATGGAAACTGTGTCAACACGCCTCTCATGAGACCTCAGTGCTCACATTTGAGCTTAGGTCTTATGCTTGCTCTGCAAGCATTTTACCAACTGTGCCTGCCCCTCCCTTCGCTTTTTCCTCTTTTTGCCATTTGTTTTTGTTCCTTGTTCATTCTTTTGTTGCTGTTTGACTTGGAATTAGACTTCTGTTTCTTTCTCTACTCTTTCCAGTGTCCCCGTCTGATCTACATTTCTCATTTTTGTTTTCCTGATCTTCGTATTGTACCCACACCCCACCCCCAACTCCACTGAGGTCGTCATACAGGCTAACCATCAGCTGCTACTGCCTGTCTGCCAGTCTCTAGTGATTAGTGATCTTACGTTTGTATTGTGTTCTTTGTTTTGATGACCTCCCTGTGTTTTAGGATTATGTGGCTTGCTTGTCTTTCATGCTGTTGCTTTACTTTTCTGTGCCTTTGTGTAGTTGTGATCTATTAGGATAATGGGTCAGCAGATGGACAGTAGTGTACAAATTTTGATTGTAACAGTGTTGTGTTTCTTCATTCATGTGTTGGTTTCAGCTGCTGTCCTGTATAGCTAAAGGTTAGTCTTATCAGGAGGCAGGCTTTGCACAGATATCTACCTCCTCTGGCCTTTCACAGGAAAGCTTGCTGACACTTAGCCTAAATCATTTTTCCTTCTGCAGTGGAGTTTTTTAGAACTGATGTTTTAAAAGAGCTACATGTGATTCTGGTTTTGGTACAGTAGCAGAACATTGTTTATATCTAATGTCATGTTCAGCCCTGATGCTTACGCTAGTATTATATGTCTCATCTCATTCAGTTTCTGATTGCTGACCACTCCCATTAGAAGCAGACAAAAAAAAAATCACTTGTGCTTATGAACCACCACATTCAGTAAGAGGTAATGAAGAAGTAGCTTTTTTTTTTTAAATTGATATTTATTGAGCTCTCCATTTTTCTCTGCTCCCCTCCCTGCCTTTCCCCTTCAACCCTCCCCAAAGATTCCCATGCTCCCAATTTACGCAGAGATCTTGTCTTTTTCTACTTTCTACTCTCCATGTAGATTAGATCTATGTAAGTCTCTCTTATTGTCCGCATTGTTGTCTAAGTTCTCTGGGATTGTGGTTTGTAGGCTGGCTTTCTTTGCTTTATGTTTAAAAACCACCTATGAGTGAGTACATGTGATAATTGTCTTTCTGTGTCTGGGTTACCTCACTCAAAATGATGTTTTCTAGCTCCATCCATTTTCCTGCAAAATTCAAGCTGTTGTTATTTTTTCTGCTGTGTAGAACTCCATTGTCTAAATGTACCACATTTTCCTTATCCACTCTTTGATCAAGAGGCATTTAGGTTGTTTCCAGGATCTGGGTATGACAAACAAAACTGCTGTGAACATGGTTGAGCACATGTCCTTGTGGCACGATTGAGCATCCTTTGGATATATACCCAAAAGTGGTATAATTGGGTCTTGAGGAAGGTTGTTTTCTAATTTTCTGAGAAATCGCCACACTGACATCCAAAGGGGTTGTACCAGCTTGCATTCCCACCAGCAATGCAGAAGTGTTCCCTTTTCCCCACAACCTCTCCAGCATAAGTTGTCATCAGTGTGTTTGATCTTGGCCATTCTTACAGGTGTAAGATGGAATCTCAGAGTTGTTTTGATTTGCATTTCTCTGGTGACTAAGGATGTTGAACATTTCCTTAAGTGTCTTTCAGCCATTTTAGATTCCTCTGTTGAGAGTTCTCTGTTTAGGTCTGTACTCCTTTTTTTTTTTTTTGGATTATTTGTTCTTTTGGTGTCCAATTTCTTGAGTTCTTTGTATATTTTGGAGATCAGACCTCTGTCTGATGTAGTGTTGTTGTAGGAGCTGCGGGCCGCCTGGCTAGCTTATGCCCCAAAATAACACACAAACTGTATTCTTTTAAACACTGCTTGGCCCATTAGTTCTAGCCTCTTAATGGCTAATTCTCACAATCTTACCTAACCCATATTTAGTAATCTGTGTAGCACCAGTCTTACCGGGAAAGATTCAGCATGTCTGACCTGGCGGCTGGCTGCATCGCGTCTGCCCTGGAGAGGAGTGTGCCTCTGCCTCACTTCCTCTTCCTCCCAGCATTCTGTTCTGTTTACTCTGCCTACCTAATTTTCTGTCCTATCAGGGCCAAGGCAGTTTCTTTATTTAACCAATGACCTTCCTCCATCATAGTGTAGTGAAGATCTTTTCCCATCTATAGGCTTTCGTTTTGTTGACCGTGTTTTTTGCTTTACAGAAGCTTCTCAGTTTCAGGAGGTCCCATTTATTAATGATTTCTCTCAGTGTCTATGCTGCTGGGATTATATTTAGGAAGTGGTTCCCTGTGCCAATGTGTTCAAGTGTACTTCCCACTTTCTCTTCTATAAGGTTCAGTGTGGCTGGCTTTATGTTGAGGTCTTTGATCTATTTGGACTTGAGTTTTGTGCATGGTGCTAGATATGGGTCTATTTTCATTCTTCTACATGTTGATACCTAGTTATGCCAGCACCACTTGTTAAATAAGCTTTTTTTCCATTTGATATTTTTTGCTTCTTTATCAAAGATCAGGTATTTGAAGATGTGTGGATTGATATCCAGGTCTTCTATTTGGTTCTACTGGTCCTCCTGTCTGTTCTTATGCCAGTACTAAGCTGTTTTCAGTACTGTAGCTCTGTAGTAGAGTTTGAAGTCAGGGATTGTGATGCCTCCAGAAGTTCCTT